ATTCCTGTGTCGATGCTTAACGGCATGGGTTTTCTCGCAATCACTCATTCTAGTTGCTAGAGTAACGTTTTGACTATTATAAAGCCAGACACTAACTGAAAACCACAGTTCTCTCCCCTGTGCTTTTACACTCTCTACTGGTGCCCAAGTAGGAAATAAGTAAAGAAATAGCCCATTCTTCTCTCGAGACATGAGCTTTATGTTAGTTTTAAAGAAGAGGGCATTGCAGAAATGAGCTGTAGAGACACAGGAATGAATGTGGGTAAGAAGAGAGGACAGACCCATGGAGAGCATGAATCTCCACTCTCCTATGGAGTGCGGTGCTGAATGCCTTTTTCTGCTACCAGTAAATGTCTTAAACTCCTTTACAAACTGTCGATGCTGTGCCTAAGAAAGCATAGGAATGATCCACAGAAAGAATAGAAATCTGTCATTAATAAAAATTATTCTGTTTATTCAAGTAGTTGATAGTTAGAAAGTCCTAACCCTGCTAATTATCCAAGCTGAAGTTTTATATTGTTTTCCATAATGGAATCTCCATATTGCAGTTTGCTAAAAGAACCCCCACATCCTCAAGAAACTACACCCAAAAAAATTCTGCTTGAATGAAAAGCTGAAAAATTAAGTGCTCAGAAGCCGAGAATTTCAAGAATGGAGGCTGACTGAGCAGTGTTAATGAAGTCCTCTTATCCGTGTTTGTTATGGTACGGACTTTGATTACCTGCTCACATATAGTTTTCCTGTGACACACTCAATTAAAACAACACCTCACCTCACAAACCATGCTAGCTTTCTTTTTGTTCAACTTAATCTCTATGACTGTTTAAAACCTACATAAATTTGTGCCTTTGTTGAAAGCATACTCCCTGAAAGGGGGAAAGTGCTTCTTCATCTCCTTTGTACTGAGGAAACCATACTGAACACAGAAGATATAAGCAGATTAAGTTGTGCAAATTCATACAGTCATTCTTGCTATTGGGTGAAGAATAAGTCTTTCTTTCGAAATCTCTCTCATGCTTTATTTCCATTATGTTCCCTATATGGGCTTTAGGTTTCTATTGTGATAAAGAGTTGCAGGAGCTCCCCCTAGTGCACGAAAACACATGGATCGAGTTTGTGAAGCTTACAGGCTGAAACGTCCCCTTTATGTTTTTCATGTAATGACTCCAAATCCTCTAGACTGGAAGCTTATTGGGAGTGATTTATTTGAGATATTTTGTACAGCAAAGCTCCAATAGGATGTGCTGAAATGCTCCTCTGAAAGTTACCTTTTCATCCATCTTCTTCCCTGGTTAATTTGATGTGATAAAATGTAGATTCCTTTTCTTTACTGAGTTTTCAGTAAGGCTTAGGTGCCGTGCTGAATTTTATGCATTTAAATAATTGTAGTGATTGTGAAAACATGATTTTCTATTTTATCAACTCTTAATGCAT